GCCCCGGGCCAGAGCCTCCGACCGAGGTGCGGGTGCGCTGCAGAGCTGGTATCAGAGGAGGGGTCCCTGGGGCCCGGCGGTGGCCCTCACCCGGCCAGGTGGGTCCTGCTGTAGCCGATGCCGCCCCTGGGCCTCCCACCGTCGGGCAGGCTCCACCAGCAGCCTGGTGGCCACGCTTTTAGGGGCCTCGGGCACCCTTGCCCTTGTAGGAAACAATGTCCCCCTCCTCCCACTTGTGTGCAGCGAGTGGAGGGTCTTGCAGGTTTCTGGTGCTGACGGAGTCCTGCAGGAGCTTCCGTGAGCGGGCCGCGGTGTGCGTCTGGAGGAGCCTGACTGACATGGGGGTGTTTGCTTTCTTGTTCCAGAGTGGCAGTAGATTCAGTGGATGCATGATGAGTCCTAACGCCGTCCTGAGCGGCCCGGGAGTCTGAGTAGCACTAGGATCTGCTCAGCACTCAGGCGGAGGGCCGCGCCACCTCCTGCTGCCCGTCCCGGCTCCCATTTCTGGCTCCACCTCACCTCAGCCTCCTGGTGCTCTCTGCACGCCCTGGATCGCTCGCTCCGAGGGGCGGTCTTCGCCATCTGACGACTTGAACTGTTCTGAGCCTTCCACTTTTTCCAAAGATTCATCCGTGTGCTCTGCCTTGTAGGGGGTTTTCTGGCGTCCCACCGCACGCTGCAAGATTTCCAAGTTAGAGTGAAAACAGATCGTTCATTTGGAGACGCTCGGCCCCTGGGGGCCCTCCCTGCTCGTGAGCTGTGGGAAGCGCCAGTGGGCCAGGGTTAGAGTCCCTGACCCTGCTCTTCCCGGTGCCACGCCACCTGGAGCCCGCGCTCTGTCTCGCTTCCTCCTTCCGCGACGCTCGTCTGTTTCCCATAACGAACAGCTGGGCCGGAACCTCTGTGCTCCTGGTCTCTGCTTTTGAGGCTCCTGCTGCGCGCGCGCGTGCGTGTGTGTGAGAGACAGAGACAGACATGCAGAAACAGAGAGAGACAGACACAGAGACACAGAGAGGGAGTCGTGTTCGTCCTCAGGCTGCTCAGGGCGGAGGCTGGTCTGGCGGCGCCCCTAGTCAGACTAAATGGCTTTTTCGCTGTTTTCCAGGTTCTCAGTTTAACTACTAACACGCTGGGTAGCTCACTCTTTGGATCCTAATTGTTTTCTCTTACTCAACTTGGACGGGAGCTCTGCTAAGCGGTGGTTCTGGAGCGCAGAAGGATCACAGCATCCTTGTGTTTCATGTAATTGTTGTGGAGGACGCTGGGAGCATCCGTTCAGCCATATTCCAAACAAAAACACAAACGGCACGTGGAGGACACGGGCCCCACCCCGCCCACCCCCTTCTGTAAGTCCGAGCCAGATGCCCACGGGAGGAACGGCGCAGGTGCTGGAGAGCTGCCCGGTGCCCCTCCTCGAGCTGGCTGCCGCTGGCAGGACGCCTCCTCAGCCCGTCCCGACCCCGTGGGTAGGTGTGAACGATGCCGAGGGCAGCTTTAGAGCCAGGTGGCGCAGAGAGCCTGCGGCCCCCACCGATGACTTACGTGGGCCGCTTTTAGCAGGCGCAGAACTGTTCCGGGTCGGGCGCGGGGCGCGGCACAGCCGGAAGACGCGTGAACACTGATGCGTCCCCTCGCTTGTCAGCATCTTTCTTTCCTGGGTTTCTACCTGGTCTCCCTTCTCCCCTCGTGTGTCCCTTCCTGCCGGCCGGCCCCGGGGAGTCCTGAGCGAGCTGGGCGGCTCTGTCTCTGCGCACCGTGCCGAATGCCTGCTGCATGCGCGGGGTCCTGCCGGGTGGGGCCTGGACGCACCCCGTGGGGGCCTTCCCTGCCTGCTGCCACTGCTTCGGGGAGCTGGTCTAGGCCAAAGCAGGGTGGTTGGGATTTTACTTGCTGTGTTTTTATGAAAAGGTTGGAAAACGCACACAAAAAATGCAGTTCTACCGCCTAGTACAAATAAAAACGTATAAACAAAGGAACGGGTGGTCCCAGCACTTCAAGAGGCTGAGTGCAGTCTCTGTGCCCACTGGCCTCTGAGGCTAGCCCCGCGTCACACCCTGGATCGTCATGTTTGGGGAGCTGGGCAGCAGCCTGGGTGGTGGCAGGCCGAGCACTGGTGTCCACCCCATGTGGCCCATGGTGGACGGCGGTGAGCGCGGCCCACCCTGCTTCTCTGCCTCTTGCCGGGCACCAGTCAGGAGGTTCCTTAAGGAGCAGCGAGGGTGTGGCAGGTGTGGGCCTTGCCCCCCGGGGGGGGGGGGGGGGGAATCAGGGTCTTCTCGCCGCCTGGGAGCTGTGAGCTGTTCCCCGTGGAGCTCGCAGCTTCAGGAAGCTTTCTCGAGGGCTTTGCTCTGACACTGTTGACCGGCCGTCTCAGGAGGCCCCTTGGGACACCCCTCCCCACGTGGCCGGGGAGTGGCTGGGCCAGGCGCCTCTTGGCTCGAGGTGTCGTGCCTGTGGGGGCAGAGAAGGAGGTCCTCGTGAGGTGGGACGGGGCCTCGGCACAGAGTCCCGCGTGCTCTGGGGGAAAGCGCGGCTCTCGTGCTGGAGGGCACCGGCCTTTTCCATGCGGCCACCGTGTCTTTTGTGTCTTGTAGTTCACTGACTTGATGTTCAGCGTTGAAAAAATTATTTTTTCCTGAAGTAGTTTGCTAAAAGTTCGTGTGTGGACATGGTTTCGGCTAGGGGCTCAGGTGCCGTACGGATATCCTGTGCGAATGGCTTGCGGGCCCATCTCTGCACAGACCCCCAGAGCCTGGGTTTCCTCGAGGGCTGTCCAGGGCGGGGCTGTGGGCTCCCCGAGCTGCAGCTGGCTGGCAGGAAGCGTCTGTCTGCACAGGGAGCCTGTGGGCCGGGGAGGGGGCAGAGAGGCGGTGAGCACGCGCAGGCTGGTGCCCTGGCCACCGGCCACCTTGAGGACTTTGGGGAGGGCTGGGCGGCCTGGGGGGCCCTGCTCTGGCCCCAGCAGCCTCCTCTTGCTGGGTTCATCTGGGGTGCCTGCTAGTTAGTAGCTGTTTGGTGACGCTTCCTGGGTAACAGATGAACGGTGTGCGTAACCCGTCATTGTGGACACGCATGTCCTCTCAGTTCTCCGGGAGATGGAGGAAGCTGTGCTTGCGCTCTTTCTCAGACAGAGCCTCACCTTTCCCCCCAGCGTCTCCTGGGGGAGCACGTCTTCGGGTGGTTCTTGCCGAGTACCAGGTGCAGATGGCCTCGGTGCCGCCTTCCTGGTCGCAAGTGAAGCCTTGTGCCATGTTTTGGGAACATGGGTGCTGGGTCTCCTTCCTCCCCGGATGCCTCCGCACAGACGCCGGGCCTCAGTCTGACCTTGGCTGGGGCGCTTGGAACGGGCGCCTTCTCTTGCTTCTCGGAGCGATCCCAGCGTGTTGCGGACAGGGAGGGGCCCTGGCCGAGCTCTTCCCAGGAGCCTCGCGTGCCTGCCCGGGTCGGCCCGCTCCAGCTCTGCAGGGAAGGGCACGGGCAGAAGTGATGACAGTGCCTGGAGGTCAGGTGGTCAGGTGCCCAGTGAGGCCATCCGGGGTCAGCAGGCCCCAGCTCCAAGTTGACCCCGTGCAGAGCGGCTTTGTGGCTGCATGTCCTTGTTGCTTGGACTGTTGCCACAGGGCCAGTCGGGTGATGTGCTGGGGCTTCTTCCGAGGGTGCCGCGGTGGCTCCGTGGCCTCGCTGCTGTTGGGTGCTGGACGTGCGCCTGTGGGACTGCGACCCCCTCCTCTGTCCATGTGCCTGGGTGGGGCGGGCTGTCTCTGAGTTGAGGTCTCTCTGTTGCCTTCTGCAGCTCCTGGGGGGATCCTGGGCGTCGCTTTACTCTTCCCGGTTCCCCTGACCCGCGGTGAGCATGGCTGGAGCTGGCTCCCGGCCCCGTGGCCTCTGCTCGGCTGCTGTACTTCATGGGCCACAAGTGCCCAAATGCCGTCAACGAGTATAGCATCCCCAGCCAGCTGCGCTTACTGCTGGTGCACGTGGGTTAGGTCCACAGTGGAAAATACCGCGTTTCTCTTGAGAGCCTGTGGTGCGGAGTCCCACGGAAACGGAGCAGGATGTCTAATGAATTTACTTCAGGAAAACGAGTTGCTGTGGTCCGTCCCTGAAGCAGCAAAGCTCGCCCGCTGCGTGTGCGTTTATTTCGTAGCCGCCAGCACGGTCAATTCACTGCGCTCACTTCACGTGTGTCTTTGCCGCTGAGAACGTACAAAGTGTGTAAAGCAGATGAGAAAACCCTGTAATCTGGCCGTCTCCAAAAAACTTTTAAAGAACTGGGTTTAACATTTTTTTTAAGCTTGGGAATGTGATTCTTTTTGGGAAAAAAAGTGCACGACCCTCTAGCTGTTGCACCCCTGGTCACCCTCCCCTGCCCCCCATCCTGTTCTGGCGTCGGGCTCTCGGGGTGGGGTGGGGGGGGGGCAGTGGTTTGGCTTTTTAGAGTTGCCATGATTCTGGATGAGTTGTGTTTTGTTCAGTTACATAGACTGTTTGAGAACCAGGGAGGGGTGGCGTCCCCGGTGGGTCTGGTGCTGTGGGGCACGGGGTGGTCGGAGTTCAAGAGAGCGCATTTTCTGCTTTCACGTCTTGAGTGTTTCCGAGGTGCGTGTGTTTCCTTCGACTTGCCGTTCCCATCGAGGTTCCTGTGCGTGAACCTGTTCGTGGTGGTGGCGAGGGGCCTCCTCCGACACGGTTCGTCCCCCATGGCGGGGGCTCGTCCCGTGTGCAGAGAGAGTCCTTTGATCTGGGAAGGAGGAACTGGATGCTCTTGGCTTTGCCTTCGTGGAGCCCACGCAGACATTCTTGCTTTTCCGAGAAGAGCACCTTGTTCTGACCAGTGCGCTCTGGCCTCGGAAGGCGCCCCGTCTGTCCTGCGTTGTCTGCGCTGCGGAGGCGGGGGGCATGGGACGGACCCGACGCTGTGCGGCCTCGGACGGGGAGTGCTCTTGTGCAGCGTGGCCCCCGGCACGTGGGCCTGAGGCACCTGTGTGCCTGTGTTGTAGGTCTCACCAATGGCTTTGGGGGCGCACGGAGCGAGCAGGAGCTGGGTGGCGCCCCGGGGAGGAGAGCCGCACCCCGACGACGCTGCGCCTCGGAGTCCAGCATCTCTTCCAGCAGCAGCCCGCTCTGCGACTCGAGGTGGGCACAGCCCTGCTTGCTTGCCGACCCGCGCCCACCTGTCCTATCCCCGCCGCCCTGCCCACCGGGGGTGCGTGTGTCCTGCTCTTCAGGGGCCCTTTCCTGGGTTCTCTTTATCTGCCTCGTAGAGCTTAACCAGAAATGGGAAACGTAACTGTTCATTTTTTCCCCCCAAAGTCATGCCCTGATTGGAAGGGTGGCAAGTGCAGGCCTCCTGCCCGTCTGCCCTACGGAGACCCCTTTATAACAGGGCCCTGCATGCCCTGGCTTGTCGGGTGCGGTCTGCCCCGTGTGGCCTCTGCGGGGCCCGGCTCGGGCTGCAGACGGAGCGGAGGGGAAGGGGCGCTTTCTGACACAGCTTTGCTTTTCCTCCTGAAGTTTTAGCGCGCCCAAGTGTGGCCGGGGCAAGCCCGCCCTGGTGCGCAGGCACACGCTGGAGGACCGCAGCGAGCTGATCTCCTGCATCGAGAACGGGAACTATGCCAAGGCGGCCAGGATCGCCGCAGGTGAGTCCAGCCCCGTTCTCTGCGGGCCGTGATGTGGCTGCCCGCTCTGCTGGGCGGGGCCGAGCTGGCCTCCATCCCAGGGTGTCTGTGGGAGCTCCCCGCAGACCGGACGGCTGCCACTCGACGGGAAGGGGGGCTGTGGGGACAACAGGGCTGGCTTTGTCCTGCGCTTTATCATTTTTGTGTGGAACAGTCAGTTCCAAATGTTTGCTGTTCATGAGACTCTGGAGGCTGCCCGCTCGTCTGTCGTTTGCAGCCAAATGTGGGACTGCAGGCCTGCCAGTTCCCCACATTTCAGCATCTAGCGGAGCGTGAGGAGCCCGCCGGGCCGGTGCTGGCTGGGCCGGGCTTGGGGTCAGGTGGGACTAGCTCTCGCTGGACTCCTGCAGGGGTCTCCTCAGACGTGCTCGGCACCCTGCCCTCCTGATGACTCACTGCGTCCTTCCTTTCTCTGCCCAGAGGTCGGTCAGAACAGCATGTGGATTTCAACGGATGCTGCGGCCTCCGTTCTCGAGCCTCTGAAAGTCGTGTGGGCCAAGTGCAGTGGCTACCCCTCCTATCCGGCCCTGGTGAGCCTCGGGGTAGTGGGCTGTGGGGCCATGACCCTGGTCTGTGCATTGTGGGGTCCGTGGGGCTGCCCCTTGGGGAGCCAGGGTACTGAGCAGTGTGGCCCTGTGCCCCGAGTCCGGGGGCCGTCCGCTGCCTTTGTAGGGACGGGTGTTCTGTGAGCGCCTGCCGAGGGACGTGTGTGCAGGGTGTCAGGGTGTTGGGAGAGTTCCTTCAAAAGCCACCTCAAGTCGGAGCCCGAGGAGAGAGTTCCGGGGGCGTGGCGGGTGGGCCCTCAGACGTGACCTGCACATGTCCTCCCTTGACAGATCATCGACCCCAAGATGCCACGTGTGCCTGGCCACCACAATGGGGTCACCATCCCGGCCCCGCCGCTGGACGTGCTGAAGATAGGCGAGCACATGCAGACCAAGGCTGATGAGAAGCTGTTCCTCGTTCTCTTCTTTGACAACAAGAGAAGCTGGTGAGTGCAGGTGCCCAGGCTGTGCAGGGACTGGCCTTGGGCTTGCTGTCGGGCTGGCACTGTGCTCCTGGGTCCTGCTGGGGGTTGCGTGGCCAGCCGACCAGGCCCTGTGGGTCCACGTGGTGCTCTGGGGCCTGGGCTCCGAGACCCCCCTGACGTTGCTCGGTTCCCGTGCTCTCTCCCTGAGCGCTCACGAGGTGCATTTTGGCAGTGTCCGTACCGAAAGCTCTCTGTGCCGGTGAGGTGCTCCTTGGCACAGAGTGGCTCTGCGGGCCCGGCCGCGGGGATGCAGCCGGCCTGGGTTCGTGTGCCGTGCTGTGTGGCGGCCCTGACCACTCCTCATCCTCTCTCCTTGCCGTGACCTGGTCCTGGGCAGACCTGGTGGATGGAGGCTCGTGCCCGCCTTGTCCAGTCCGAGAGCTGGTCGGCCGCCCCACAGCTGGGTCCGCCTGCCCTCCCCTCCTGGCGTGGCCCTGCCCTCCCCCGCTCGCTGTGCGAGGCTGTATGCCCGGGAATGTGCGTGTGTGCCCCTGGCCACTCAGGAAAGGTGTGGAAGGCTGGTGGGTTGTGCCTGTCTCCCGCCAGCCTCCAGGATGCGGTGGCCCCTTGGGAAGTGTTGTGGAGGAGACGTGGTGACGACTTGATTTTCACACCTTCCCTGAGCCCCCAGGGCCCTCCCAGGGTCGGGCCGTGCCCCCGGTCCTTAGCCCCGAGGCTGGTCGGGGCTGGCTGATGGGGCCGGCCCTGGAGCTGAGCGCTGGTGGCTGCCGCGTGGCCCTGCCGGCCGGGGGTCTTGGAGCTGCTAGGTGGCCGTGTGGCCAGTTCTTACTGTTCCCCTCTTTCCTCTCTTAAAAAGGCAATGGCTCCCCAAGTCCAAAATGGTCCCCCTGGGCATGGACGAGACCATAGACAAACTGAAGATGATGGAGGGGCGGAACTCCAGCATCAGGAAGGCCGTGAGGGTCGCCTTCGACCGTGCCATGAGCCACCTGAGCCGCGTGCACGGGGAGCCCACCAGCGACCTCAGTGACATCGACTGACCTGCCCGCCTTCCCGTGGCCTTGTCCATAGTGTGGATAAGCTGTACATGCGTGTATATTGTTCCAGACTTAACTTATTCTGATTTCTAGGCCTGGTTCTTTCGTTCTTCCTCCCCTGGGGAGGGCAGGTTTTGTTTCCAAGTTCTCTGTGAAACCATCCCCGTCTGGGCGCTCTGTGAACGGCGTGGGTGCTCTTCCGAACTCGTCTGTGCCTGCCGCAGATCAGGCCGGAGGGTGCTGCTCGTGTCACTTTCATTGATCTGTAGCTTTTTTTTAAAGACTTTTGAATGTTTAATAATTTTGTAAATCATACTCTTTACACGGAGTACCACTATTTAATAAGACGGGATGTAAATTTACGATGACAAATGTGTATTTTAAGAAAGAAAATGACATTATTTTGATGGTACTTTGTGGAAAGAGGTGGAGAATAAATTTATGCTGTGTACATCACTTGCAAATCACCAAAAACACTCCGCCGCCCCCCGTGAGGGCCGGGGCAGGCGCTTCCTCTGGGTGTCGCTGTCCTCACCGTCCTCGTCCGCCTCCAGCCTCCGCCCGCCTGCCCTAGCCTTCCACGGGTGTGCCTCCCAGCGGATTATTTATTGTAGAAAGTGTATTCATTTGCTTTATAATGAAAAATAAATTTGCAGAAGTATATTGATATGCATTTTTATACAGGCACATAAAAATTCAACTTGCTTTGGGAGCCGGATGTGTTGGTTGTTGTGTAAATGACTCTGGCTGTGTGTTCTTTGATTTTGTAACTTGTAATCTTCTGTTTACAATGAGGGGCTTTCTGTAACTTGTTTTAATTTAGAACACTTTGGTAGCAATAGAAACTTTGGATACATTTTTGTATGGTACATGTGATGTATATAGAATTAGTACTTTATTTTTATTTTTAAGAGGTAAAGCATTATGTTAGGGGAAAAGGTAGGGTGGGTTTCCAAAAATGCGGTTTTTATATTAAAAAATAAAGTCAAGATTTGGACGGTGTGGCCACTTCATTCCTCCCTCACTGGGGCGCTGGGCGGGCTCGCGGCAGCCTGTCCCCGCCAGCTCATCGAGGCACTCGACATGCCTTCATCTTAAAGTTGTCATGGGATGGCATTATTTATTATTTTACCTAATCATATTTTTATTTTAAACTGGTAGTTTTAAAATTTTTTAAATGTTTTTTTCCTCCCTTCAGTCTCCATTGTTTGTAACATCTCCATAGAAACTTGAAAATAAAACGTCTTCCTTTGATAGCTTGTCCTGTGTCTGACGGACGCTTTGTATGTGCCGTGCTTCTGCCAGGAGCGCCCGCCCTTGCGGGGGGCCTGCTGCTGGGGCTGCCGCTGTGGGCCGGGTGCAGGCTCGGTCCGGCAAGGAGCTGGGTTTGCCCGTGGGCCTCCGGCTGGGGCAGCGACCCGGCAGCCCTCCTCCTGGCGCCGGGTGGCTGCTGGCGGCCCCTCCCACCCGGTCACGGTCATACGGAAGGTTGGAAGGAGGTGCTGCTGGAGGCCGAGCAGACTGAGCTTTCCGTTAGCGGCGGCCACCGGAGCGTGTGCTTCCTAGCGCGTTACCGGTCACCTGGGACAGGTTGCAGGGGTGCAGAGTTCCCACACGGCCCTGCCCCAGATCCCCACCCGCACCGGACCCCCCCAGGGGCTGGTCTCGGGGTTCTTTAGAAGCTAGCCTGGCCCCCCGAGGGCTCAGGGCTCAGGGCTCAGGGCTGGGGTCAGGGGTGCGTCTGAGGAAGGTGAGAGGGAGATGCAGGCGGGGGGGCACCTGTCGGCCCCCGCTGGGGCTGGTACATGCTGTCCCCTTGGGGCTCTGCTGGGTCACCTGGGGGCAGCCCACTCTGCATCCACCAGAAGGGGGACCAGCTGGTCCCTGTTTGCCTAGGATTTCAGCCTCCTGGGAGGGGAGCCTCCTCGATCCCAGGTGGGCGGGGTGGTTGGTCAGGCGGAGGACCGGGCCCCCTTGATCTCCGGGGGGCCGCTCCTGGGACGCGCATTCAGCGCCGAGCTCACTGCTGGCCCCGCACCGGACATGGCTGTGCTTTGGCCCAAACCTGGGGTTGGGCGGGGCCGGTGGTGACCCAGCTGCCCAGGGCGGGGGGGCCCCCTGTGGGACCTCGTGGACCCCACTGCCCGCTTCGGTCGAGCACCAAGGGGTCCTGGGCGCGTGTGGGCTGTGGCTTCTCTTCTTTCTTTCTTGAGGTGTTCTACGAAATAGAAAAAAATGTGTCAGAGAGTCAGCCCCGGGCCTGTCCTGCTCCTGGGATCAGCTGTTCGTTTCCTTGTTACTAAGGTGACGTGAGAGGGGTGCCCCGTGTGGGGTGTCAGGCTTTTGGCTATCAGGATTTGTTTTCTTTTTGTGATAGAAACATACATTTATACCCTTTTAAGGCCACAGTTATTTTTCTTTACAGCAGGTAAATTTCAGATGGGTCAAAGTGAAATAATTAAAATTACAGAAAAAAATCATGAAATGATCATTTATAACCATGGAGTGGGGTTGATCTTTTAAAATATGACTGTACTTGAAACTATAAAAGAAAATAGTAATATATTTAACAATGTAAAATTAAAAAGTTTGTGCATGCATGGCCCCCCAAATCTGTTACAGTGTCAAAAGACGATTGAGGGTATTTGCAACTCAAACCATAGAAAAGGGCTTTCCTTAACATACAAAGCTTTACTAGTCATCTTTTTTTTAAAAGATTTATTTATTTGGCAGGGGAGGGACAGGGGCAGAGGGAGAAGAGTCCCAAGCAGACTCTGAGCTGAGCACAGGGCTCGATCTCGTGGGGCTCGATCCCCCGACCCCGAGATCATGACCTGAGCCGAAATCAAGAGTTGGACGCTCAGCAGGCTGCGCCACCAGGCGCCCTTACAAGTAAGTCATCTCTAAAGAGACCGACGATAGGATAGAAAAAAATGGGCAAACTGTGGACTCACGTCACAGAAAAGAAAATACAAATGGCTCTAAACAGAAGAAAATGCTCAACCCTGGCCCCTGGGGGCCCCTCAGCCCCCTGTGCCACACCATCCCCGGGGCCTAGGGGCTCTGCTTCCAAGGATGCTCCAGCCCCACTCCCTCTACCGCCCCCAGGACAGACCCTCCGCGCCCCACACCGCTGAGGAGCGGCCCTGCCACGCGGCCCAGGCCTCTGACCATCCGCCACGTCCTCTTGGTGTTTATTAGTGAGTCTGCATTCGATGCGAACACAAGCGTTCTGCACATAAATCACAATATATGATCTGTTGGCTGCAACCTGGAACAGCTGAGTGTCCCTTAGAGAAACAGCACATTTGTTTTAATTTCTACGTAGCAGATGCTTCGATTTTGCCGATGCACCAAGTGAGTCGCTGCCTCCAACCGGGATGGTTTCAGCTGCTCTCTCCATTGGCCTTTGTGAATATTAAACAGCTCAGAGCCTCCCAGGGGGGCTCAGAGCGGTGGGGTGTGGTGCTGGATCTGGGGCTCCTAGGGGCTGCTGCCCACCCCGGCTCCAGGAGCCCCTGTGCCCAGCTGGTATTTAGCCGGGCCCTCCTACGTGCCTGGAGGCCAGCTTGGGCTCCAGGTGTGTTCACCTGCAGCGAGGCCTGGGCCGTCCGGGGGTTCTGGGGGCCAGGGGGCCGGGGTACGATCCAGCACCCCATCCAGGGTGGGGGGCAGGTGCCCAGTGATGGTGACTTAGTCCCTTGCTGCCCGAGCCTGGTCCCGGGGGCTGCCCGCCTCCCCTTGGGGTGAGGGCTGCAACCCTGGTTTTGTGGACAGGCCGGGTCTGGGAGCCAGAGCTGCAGAGGGGCGGTGTCTGGAGGCGGGAGCCCTTCAGTTCCTCCAACAGCAACGGAGAAGGCCTTAACAGTTGGAGCTACGGTATTGGTTCTCCGTGTCCCAAAGCAGAGCGGGGCTTGCGGGCTGAAGTCACTGCTCGGGGACCCTGGTGTTTGGTGACCTCCTCGTGGGAGTGACGTCACGTCCCTCCGCCGTGTTGTCTGTTAGAAGGGAGCCGCCGGTCCAGCCCCACGCGCGCCGTGTCAGAGGCCACTCCCTCAGGGCCACGCCGGTCGGTCCTCGGTCCCTCTTAGTTTTGGGGACGGTTCCAGAAAGACAGTATCCTACCTTCTATTACATTTTCTAGATGTTTCCTGAGTTTAGAAGCCTCTGAACTCTTACTCATTCTGACAGTGAATCGATGTTTTGGTTTTCTGTGCAAACTCGCTTACTTGCGGGTGACGGCAGGTCCGTCTTTTCTTCCGAATCCGTATTTCCTCTGCTGCTCTTTCTTGTGCCTCTCCTGGCGGCGACCTCCCCGCGCGGCTGTGAGAAGTGAGCTCCCGGTCAGGCCGGGCCAGGCGGTCGGTGCGGGAGGAGAGCTGCTGGGGAGCACTGGTCACCCCGGATGCTGGGGACGCCCCTCATTGTTTCCCGGACCAGCCGGCCAGATCCCAGGCTCTCTCTGCCCTTCCTTGGGGGCTGAGTGAGGCTGTCTCCCCTCCCCCAAAGAGACAGCGCCCCCCCCACGTTCCGGGTCTGGGGGCAGCTGGGCCATGGGCAACCTCTGCGCCCCGCCCACACTCCACGCCTGCCCGCCCTGGGCTTTGTGCAGGACCCGAGGCCGCACAGTCCCGCCCCCCTCCCCGGCTCCCACCCGGGGAGCTCTGGTTCCTCCCTCCCCCAACCCCGGCTGCTTCTCGAGTCTCCTGTATCCTGAGACCCCCTTGCTCATCCCCATCCCCTCCCTCGCTCGCTCCTTCACGCATCGACACGGGCACGTTTCCTGCGACCTGCTGTGTGCCAGGCTCTGCATCAGGACCGCGGATGGGGAGGACGAAAGGCCAGACCCCTCTGCCCCCTCCCAGGCAAGAGCTGGGCGAGAGCCAAAATCGGCAATGACGGAATCGCAAGTGTGCGGGGCAGGCTGCCTGGAGGAAGTGTCTACAGCGCGCGCAGCACGGGGAAGCTCCCGGGCGGAGAGCCGGAAGGGCACGGAGGCGGGCTCGGGGGGAGGAGCCCCTCCGGGAAGGCCGGCGGGGCCACCGGGACAGGTGTGTGGGGCCCCACGCTGGCTGGGGCGGTCGCGCATCCGGCGCCGCCCGCGCGGATGTTGCGATGCGGCCGGACGAGCGGCACGAGAGGCCAGTCCGAGGCGCCAGGCTGCAGCGGCGGCGGCCCCCAGCGCAGAGGGGCGCAGACGACGCAGGCAGGAACCGCGTGAGGGCGGAGCAGACGGCAAGGGGTGGGGCTACGGGGCCGGCATCTCGGGAGTCTGTGATGTTCGGACAGGGGTCCTTCTCACTGTGCACGGGGCTCTGCACATTCGGTGGCTGGGCTTGGGCCGGCGGCAGGCAGGTGCGGAGACCCCAGGCGGGGATGTCTCGGAGCACTGAGCGGAGGGGCCGTGGGGCTGGCGGGGACGGTCATGCTGTGAGGCTGGGCATTCACCTGCTGGGGTCCGAGCAGGGCGACACCACCTGAGTTCTGGGGGGGGGCGTGGCTGTGAAGAGCCGGCTGCAGAGGGCAGGGGGGTGGGCGCCCCTGGGGGCTGCTGCCCATGGGGTGGAGACGGTGGGCGGGGCAGGTTAGGGACAGGTGTGTGGAAGGGCGGGGCTCCAGGAGGTCCGCGCAGGTTGTGGGGGCCGCCCTGTGCCTGGGGGGCTCTGCAGGACGGCTTGGAGGGCGGAGCAGGGGTCGGGGTTTCAGGTGTGTTCTGAAGAAAGGATTCACAGCAGCTGTACCCTCAGTTTGAAGGGGAAAAACCACTTTATTGATCTTATAAAAATCTAACAGAAACAAAAGAAGAAAAGGGAGATCTGCACATAGGTGAGGGCAAGAGTAAGCGTAAAGGAGGGTAGGACAAAGTTACGTCGACTCGAGCGCTTGCAACATCCAACCTCACCAGCTGGGGAAGCCCCGGGGAGACAGCCGCTGGAGTCCCGGTGGAGGGGCAGGGGCGGAGCGTCCTCCCCTCAGCTGAGACTTCCCACTGACCATCCCCATCAGGGCCGTGTTTATAGGGCACATGATGGGGTCTGAAGTTAAACATTTGTTCACCTACGTGCAGTTTGGAACGAGCTGCATTTCCGTGTTATCATGTCTTTGCCCCTTCCAGGAGCCTGGGCTAGGTGTGCTCGCCTCCCTCCCACACTCTGTTCCGGGGGGGCCAGCCCCGCTGGAGCAGCAGGGGATGCAAGGCTCTTGGCATCCAGACCAGAAGGGCCCGTTCTGACCTGGAGGCCAGGTAATGTCCACCAACC